TCCTCAGTGAGCCAAAGGAGCTCCTGCCACAAAGCCTCTATTGCCTTTTTTTCTGTGCAGTCTGAGATCAAAACCTCCCATCACTTTGTCACTGTGTCAATAGAGCTGTTGTCAGGTAAAACACAGGACTTAATCAGGAGTTTGAAAACGCAGTGCTACTTTTTTTAAGGGAATTGAAGCTGCCATGAGTCTGGCAAAAGAAGGAACACAGTAAGTCATCCAGGGATTTTTATGCATGTTTAAGGGTTGTGGAGGATGCTTGACTCTGAAGAAAAAACATGACAAGCAACCAACAAACTCTATAAAAAGGAAATGATCCTACTCAGATGTTCATGTGACAGTCTAAATTGACTCTGTCCACTGTAAGTGACACAAACTGGCAGAGCAGATCATCCCTCTGTTGAGAACTGGCTGAGCTGCACCCGGGGAAGGGTTTCACCCTGTAGCTTAGCTTTAAACTGCCTCACCTTTGAGCATCAGTGGATTCAGCCACTTAACTAGGTTAAGACAACAATATCTTAATTTTACAAAAGTGTTAACCAAGTTTTATTAGGACAGACAACTTCTGTGACATCGCTTTCCAGTCTGAAAATGCTTCACATTACCAGATTTTTCTTTCTAGACGTTTTGGTTAAAATAATTCCAATTCATAACAAAGAGTAGAAATGTTCAGAAGATTCAAGGAGAGCAGCTGAAACTAACTAAAAAGGTAAAATTACTGGCCTGACTGAAAAGAACCACTTATCTCAATCCCCAAGATACAGCAACAAATTCATCTATTGCATTACCAGCCTGAGCTTGCAGCTGGTAAGGCAATTTTCCTAAGAAGTTCTTCCCTTCAATATACAAGAAAAAGGCAATTTTTTTTTTAATAGTAGAATTATATAATTGATTGGAAGGGCTTTCTATCTCATGAATGCTGGATGATTGTGGATTGAACAGTTTTAAAAATAAAGTAACTGCTAGGGCTGAAATCCCAAGGATCTGGTAATATAGAATGAAGTTAGTGGTCTGGCAGATTTGTTCAATTTTCTGAAGCCATGGTCAATAACTTTGCAGTAAAACTGAGCTATGAAGAGTGTTTTTGTCACTGACTGAGAGCTGCTGTTAGAGAAATAAAGGTAGAAGGTTTTTAGCCAGGCTGCAGTACAAAATTAATAGCTTAATGAAGAAAGCAGTGTGACTTTCTGGAAGGCAAATGCAGCAAGTTTATAATGTCATGTTCTGGAATTTATCATATGCACAAGCTTTGGCTGTGCAGGAGGAGACTGAATATGCTGCTTCTTTCCCAGATATTTTTAAATTCACTGACCTACAAATAGTTTGCTTCTTCCATCAATGACAAGTATTTTTTTAAACAGCATCAGTCAGAGGAAGATTTACTAAGGAGGGAGAAAAGAAAACCATCCTATTACAACATCTCTTCCCAGGTGGCCACTGACTGAAATCCTCAATAAACTATTTCACAGCATGAGAGGTCGAATACAGTCATAGTTGTAACGGATTGAGAAATAATAGCTCCTGGCACAAGCACAGCATCAAAATTAGATTTTATTGGTTTGCTTCACAGCATTGGGGATCATCTCTTGAAACCAGAATGCTGTAACACCCTCTGCAGTCGCAGTAGATTGTCTTCACCAGATCTCAGGATTCAGCAGAGCTCTGAGGCATCACTTGCTGTGGTCCCCTGGATGAATCTGGGTTTCCCTCTGCAGTGTCTCACCTTAAGATAAACTGTTCTTACAGTGTGTGCAGCTAATTGACTCAAAGTTGAGTGGATCTCTGTGGATCACGAGTATCTATGTGTGTATGGACAGATTAAACTCCTCAAGGTTTGTTTAATCTGGTAATTAAATTTGTACAGCTCTCTGCTGTACATCCACACACAGAACTGGTTAATGCCCTGCAATGTTGCACTTGGTTATTCTGGTGCCAAGTTCCCCATATAGACAAGCCTTCAGATAGAGATAAATTGCAGTTCTTGAATTTAACTGTTTATTTTGTTTCCTTAACAGCATTTCAGTTACCCATCGTTTGTTTTGTTTATAAACAATATATATATATTTATATATGATTTTTTGTACATAAACTCAGAGAATCACTGTGTGATTCTTGTTTTACTTATTCAGGTGAGTTGTTCCAGTGGAATTTTGCTGCTGATGGTGGTATAGATATCATGTGATACTTAGGATAGATTATATGACTTAAATCTTTAAAACACCACTTTTATGCTGGGTCTCACTCAGAAACACACAAAATGGTAATCTTCTGCAATTCTGCCTTTGTAAAAACACGCATAATTTTTACAAAAATAGTCGTGGTTGTAATTAAGGATGCTGATGGTTGTTTTTGTTTTTAATTTCCTATCCTTCAGAATCCTTAATAAACTTTCACGGTCAAAATCCAGATGGTACTGCAGAGCTCAGTGTTGTTTTTGAGGATTTTTTTTTTTTCTGTTTGTGCTGATTATAACTCTCCCCAGATAAAAGTGTAAAATTGTTTGAATGTTTGGCCTTTGGCTGTTGGGAAAGCTGCTGTCAGCTCCCAGCACAAGCCAGTTCATATTCAGCACATGTTCCCAGCTTGCTGGTGGAGGGAAGTTCAACAGTGAGCAGGTCAGTTTGCCATTGCCCAAAACTTTAAAAACCTATGGTCCCTACTCTAACTGGTGAGATTGTTTCCTTATTTTAATAGGCAGTTCACCTTCTCCTTTTTTTCTTTTTTTTTTTTTCATTTATGTTGCTCTCCTATTCCAAAGAGTCATTGATTTACAAACTCTAAGGAGCGCTGTCCCGTGGAGATGGGGACTATAGAGGGAAGGTTTTTAATCCCTTAGATAATTAAGCACTAAAATAAATGATTAAAAAATTATGAGGCGAAACACTCTGTTAATTTTAATACAAAAATAAAGTACTTCTCCCTGTGGAACGCAAGGGAGGGAGCTGCAATCAAAATAAGGGAAATAAAAAATTGAATAACCTGAATTTTTTCCCCCCCTCTCTCTAAGTTGCTTCCTTGATGCCTCGCTGTGTTTAATGGTGCTTTGCCAAGATGTTGGGAGGAGTACAAAATGAGTGTGGAATTCATAAACGGGACATTAGATGGAGGAAGGATGGAATGGGCTGGGTGATCTGAGGAGTAAAACAGCAGAACAGATTTTGCCTCAGGGCTGGAGGGGAGAGATGCAGCCCTGCAAGCCTAAGTACTAGCAAAGCCATTTAGAGTTGGTGGAAATCTTTGTTGGGGGATTATCTAGAACAAGGCCTTTAAAAACTTCATTTGCTCTCAGTGAGTGTCTGGTGAAAGAGTGGGAGCTGAATGCTGAAAAGACTAAGGCTAAAATGGTGGGTTTTGCATGCAAAGAAGCTCTGTAATTTACTCTTTATTAAAAATGAGCAGGGTGGGACTTGGATGTGATTTCCTCTAAATTCAAGCAAGATCCAAGATGAATTTTCCACCTCTAGGGATCACAGGCCTTCAGCCTTTTACTGCTGTTGCAATTTAGTCTCACATGTTGACGTGTGCTGGGGCCGTTTCCCTGATTCTTCAGATGGAATTTATTTCCAATTCTAGGTGGGGTTTGAGTTGACATTAATTAAATTTTTAAAAGTAAGGTTTCATTTTAATTGTTTATCAAAAGAGAAAAGTCACCTTTTCAAGAGGGTTGTAGGTTTTCAGAGGGTTTTAGGAACTAACAATGCCTTCCCACGGGATTTGAAGATAACAAGTCTCCTCTATCCTGTTTGAGGATTTGCAGTGATTTGCAATGTCTAAATGGTAGATTCCTGGTTAGGATTAACTGACATCAGTTTAGGCCACCACAGCACTTGAATGAGCAAATAAGTATTTAGGTCAGATGCCAAACAACAAAAATAAAGACTAATAAAGCATTTGTGAACTAGAGCTTGAGAAACTGGGTTGTCTTTGAATACCATCTGTGGTAAGCCTGTGTCACTTCTGTGAATAAGGGTAAGGATTTGAATTTGCTGTGGGGGGAAAAAAAAGGCAATTTATTTCACAATTAGGGCTGTAGATGTAAGCACGAAGGTCAGATGTTCAAACAGGAGAGGTGATACTGTATTTGCATCTGTATTTTTTAGCAGTCTATGTCTTTGCTCTTTGGGACTGACAGTTCCTAGAAAGGTTCAGAGCTTATTCTTTAGCATGATAATCTGCCTCAGGTAATGGCTCGATGGCACAGTTAAAAGAGATATCTTGCAGTACAGGAGGCTCAGTGTCATTGAAAATGTTCTTTCAATGTGCAGTGATGTACAGCCTACAGATAATGCAGTTGTGTTAAGGAACAATGCAGGGTTAGACAAAAATAGTGGCTTGAATCCTGATAGTTATTTACAGGAAAGAAACCTCTTTTCATAGATGAAGTGAAATGGAAGGGACTATAAACTGGATGCTAATAAAGCTCCTTTTGAAATCCTCTAGTACCACAGTGCTGTAAAGGAGCTGTTGTGTAAATGGTTATTGTGCTAACTATTTTTAAAGTGAAATTCAGCCTTGTGCGGGAAACGGCTTAAAGTCCATGTACTGCCTGAGGGTGCTGAAAGGGAGGCTGAAGTGAACTCTGAGTGGTCCATTTCCAGCATTTGATGTAAAATCATTGTATTGGTTTCCTGTTCAGGTGGATCAATTTTTTTTAGATGTGCCTGTGCAGTGATCTGGTGCTGCAGATGCTGACTGGGTAGTTTTGTTCTCCAATAATAAATGTATATTGCAAGTGAAGACGTGACCTTTGCCTTGTGTAAACCTACACAAGCTGCTTCTTTTAATCTAGCTGTCATGTAGAACATGTCATAAACCAATGTTTCCCAAGCTGACTAGATAAATCACCATCTACCCAGGCTACTTCTGCATGGATTGATGATGTTTGCTATTGCCACTCATCCCAACTACAGCACTGTCGGGCCCCTCAGTAGCGTCAGTGAGGTTATATCACAGTATGACTTGAAGATCTGATCTTTTAAACTCTCCTTTCCTTTCAACAGTGACTGAGAGTCGAGGGATCCTGGAGAGTATACAGAGATTTTCTTTACTGCCAACTTACTTGCCCGTGACCTATCGTATCCACAATGCGGATGTTTCCTTCTTTCTTAAGGAAGCCAACCAGGATATTATGAGGAACTCTAGCTTGCAGTCCCGAGTGGAGTCCTTTCTGATCTACAAATCCAAGAGTCCACCCGTGTTAAACGCCAGCTATGGACCTTTTTCCACTGAACAAGTAGTGCCCCAGGACTTAATGCTGTCTTCAAATCCGTTCGGATCTACCAACAAGTTCTCCTTTAACTGGAAACTTAAGGCCTTCATCATGAGCAACAAGATTTACCCCAGCAAGCCCAAGGTGCAGGTGCTGTTCTACATCGTGGGCAGGGACTGGGATGACTACAGCACCACGGAGCGCCTGCCCTGCCTGCGGGTGTTCGCCTTCCGAGAGACGCGGGAGGTGCGAGGCAGCTGCAGGCTCCAAGGGGACCTGGGGCTCTGTGTGGCCGAGCTGGAGCTCCTGCCCAGCTGGTTCAACCCCCCCACGGTCATTGCCGGCCGGAAGAAACAAATAGATAAATCTGAAGGGAGCCCCGTGGAGCTTTACTATTCCATCCAACCGGGAGATGACAAAGGGGAGTGCACCAAGGAGGATGTGAGGAAAAGTAACGGGATCCGATCGGGGCGCAACGACATCGATGAGTCGGGACCTCCCTTGCAGAGGATTGGAAGTGTTTTCCTTTACCAGACACGTGCTGCCCCTTCTTTAAATGAAATGAGATTGGATAATAATATTGTCATCCAGTATGCACCAAAGACTGTCAAGCAAGGGGACATTTTGACTTTCCTTGTATCTGTTGCTAAAAACTCAACAGAAGATCAGTTCACGCTGAGGTAAGGCTGTTTTGTGTTTCTTTGGTACCTTATCTCTACTCTTGGCTTGGGAAGTCACTTTCTCTGTATAAATTGTCTAACAGTCCATCAGTTGCTGCTCTCCAGAAATTGTGTTGCAGTTGGTTGATTCTACATTTTTTACATTGTTCAGTCTAGTGTTGTATGAATTATCTAAGATGTGATGTCTTGGAGTGAGAAAGGCCTTTTCCTCAAGTTGTCCTTTGAGGAGTACTTACAAAGATTGAAATGGTAGAGCTGGAACATATCTATGCACTAATAGGAGATAACATTTAAAGTCTGGAGACTTTAAAGAGCTGGAGTTTGCAGTTCTCCTAATCTCTCATTGAACTCATGTTAAGATTACTAAAGCTTAAATCTGCAAAGGTATTTATAGGAAATGAGCAAGAATTAGGCATCTAAGTAGGATTCATGTGCTTAAACATTTCTCTCCAACTTGTTGTAAGCCTGGTTCTGTTTTATAGAATGTTGGAGGTTCCTAAGTATTATTGATGTACCAAAACCATTTCTGAAAACAAAAAAGTACCTGAGGGGGTGGTGGTTGGTTTTTGATGTAACAACAAGTGCTGCACTGATTCACCTCGATCTTTCCAAGCGTTGAGGTGTTACAGGAGGAAGCTCCCTGGAACCACCAAAATAATATAAGAAAGAACTGCCAAGGCTGGGCTGTGGCATGCTGAGAGCAGATGTGTTTTGCATGTCCAGTTGTCTTTTCAAGTTTGCCACTCTGTTCCAGCACTGTGAATGAGGGTTGTGTGGCAGGCATGTGGAAAATCCGTGCGTGTAACGATGGTTTCATTGTTTTATCCCTTAGCAGTGATGTCACCTCTTTTTGAACTGGTGGCAAATGTCATGCTCTGGCTTCTGAGGATAAGACTGACTTGTTTTGGGTGTTTGTCTTAGAAGTGACCATTGGTGCCAGAGCTCACAAAACAAACCTCCAAAAAGCAGGTGCATCGTAGGAGGGGGCAGTGAACTCCCCACTTGCACAGACAGCTGTGCTGAGCACTAGAGATGATTGGAGCTGTCACCTTAGAAATCATACCCTACTATGGCTGGAGAAGACACACACTCTCCTTTTTCTGGTGGTTATACATCTCAAACTCCAAAAATCTCTGGTGAATTCACCTAGGTGTGGTTCAGTTACTAGAATGGCACAAAGCTGCCAATGCAATGTTGTTGAACACGGTTGTCTACCTTGAACTAGAGTAAGGACTAACTCAGATTTTACTGCAATGACTCAAGGGCTCAAGCTGGTGTTTTGTTTTCCCCTCCCCTTCCCCAAGGGAGATTTAGGGGGGATTTTTAGGGGAGGTGGATTGCCATAAAATCAGGTCATTTTTCCTTTGCAAGCGTGTGATACATAAACAGAACAACCACAGCACTTAGTTTGCTGACTCAAGGACAATTATTCCCTTTTCATCTGGCAGAGGACAAACATCAGGAGGAAATCTTCTCTCCTTACCACATCAGTTTCTCATTTTCTGAGTCAATCTGCCTCAGATTTGTTTCCTGAGTGACTAATTTCAAGACAGACAATCTGAGTTTCTCATTGCAAGTATTCAGGGATGGCTCTATCTTTCTCTATACTAATGATTTGAAAGGGATATCACATCAAGCATGGATGGAAACTTCTACTCTATATGAAAATTGGTTTAAATATAAACATTAAAAACCTTTTTTATCTGAAAGATAATGAAGGTAAAAACTGCTCATTGTTTCTACTCTGTAAATGTAGAGACTTAGAAATCTCACTTCAAAGCATCTGTATTTCCACGAGCTGTAATCCATTAAAAGTCGAGCTACTTATAACCATGATAATTGTATTACATGTAGGTTTATAAAATTTTCAAAAACCTTGCTTTGTTCCAATTAGGATGGAACCGAACACCTGAACTTTTAAAGGAATGCTTCTAAAATGAATTTTCTGGAACAAAAAGGAAAAGGGGTGTTTGAATTTTAGCTTTTTATTTCGAGATCTAAGGCATCGTGAAACAAAAAAAAAAGCTAAAAATAGATAGCAAATATCGGTTCAAAATGAAAAGTGTGGCATTCTTGTCTTCAATAACATCAGTTTGCTGTTACCTTCTAAAAACAAACTTCTGTAACAGCTTGTGTTACTCATGTTGCTTTCATGAGTTTTGATTTCTCTTGACCTGCTTTTGTAACAGTACCTGGTTTTCAGACTATAATCTGCTGCAATATCAGAGTAGTTATAATACCTGTTTAACTGTTCTTCTGAAGCACCATTGCCTGTCTTTGATCTACTTAGTGTGTCTAAGATTTTTTTTTGTGGTTTTTTTTGGTCAGAATTGTAGTATGTGTGTTCTGCAGTCATCCCTCCATGGCATGTTCTACATCTGTTTGGTCTCTTCTCATTCTGATCTTCTCTCTGATAAAGGAAAGGGTCCCTTCCCCCCTCTCCCATTATAATGCTTTTATGAGAGAAAAAAATTGTATTAATTTTTATTTTGACACAGTCCCTTATTTTTAGAAGTTCTACCTTGAGTGGCAGCAAGACTTGGAACTGTATTCATAAAGTGAGGCCAAGGGCTGCTGGCAAAATGCTTTTACCATTGCTTTTGCTCCAGTGGACTGGAAATTATGGCTTGAACAGATGGAAAATATAGGATATACAGGTCAAAAAAGAAGAAACAGACATGCAAAACAGCCAAGAGTAAAAAATTACTCATCACTACTGAATATGTTTGTTTCAGAACTATTATGCTTAAACGCTGTCCCCTTTCTAATAGAAAATTGTCTACAAGAGGAACCTTCCAGACACTGCTAAATACTAAAATATATAGGGAAAGGTACCTTTGGTTTTATCTCCTGCTGCTGTTCTGTGCAATGGAAGATTCAGAGCAGTGAATGTGAAACTGGTGGACTGCTTTTAACTCTGTGAAAGAGCTGGACCACAAGGGCCAAGGTCTAGGGTGCTCTTTTTAATGATGTAGAGAGATTGAAAATGTTTGTCTTGATTCTCTAAGGGTGTGAGAGTCAGAGGAAGGGAAGGAGATAAATTGTAAATGATGGATAAATATGAAACCCTGTAAGCACCGGGCTGTGAGCTTAGACAGGAGCACTGAGCCTTAGGAAACTCGTTTCTCAGCTTCATTCACACACTTGTGTCCTGTTTTGGTCTTGGCCAAGTCAATTAATCTCTCTGAAGCCATTTTATCACCACTAATATCAACAATTATTTGATGATGACATGCTGTATACAAGCAACAGGCAATTAAGTCTTCCCAGAGAAGCAGTATTAAATGTCTTTATAAAACAAGTGATTGAATGTCCTGTGCCTTTATCCTATTATTGTCTCTCTTTTTGAATGGGAATTAATTATTGGCTGCATTGTTTGTAACTGGCCCCATGGGAGGGTTGTGTGCACAACCTTTTTATAAAGGTTTAAAAATTTAAAGCCTCCAAACTCTGGTGTTATGCAGTTAAACAATTCCTGTTTTGCACCCAGCCCAAATTGCTGCTGGTCGTTAACACTGTGCTGTGTCACAGACATTGCAATCAATATCTGTAGGGATGCCACCCTTTCCTAAACTTAGGAACAAGAGTTTTCTGAATCTACAGCGTAGATCCAGTTCTTTTTTAACAGCATGTTTTTGCTGGGCCTAATAAATACAACCTTTTTAGTTTAAAAGTCAACAGGGTTGATACTTTCTGCTTGCAATCTTTTAAATTTGTTTTCCTGTTTCTGGAGGTGAATCAGCAAAGAAATTATAGAGACAGCATTGCCTTGGGCTGCTGAGTGTCAGGAGTAGATAAATTCATGAGTGAAAAAAGCAGTAGTTGTTTTTTGGTTTTTTTAAACAGTTATTCAATTTATTTCAATTCATACTTAGTGAATCCTGCATTCTAAATTATTTACAGTTATTACCCTTAATACCTTAAATGAAGTTCTGACAGCAACTGATGATTATAGATCCTCTAGTTTCCCAAATCTGATTTTGGAATTGGGATACCAGAGTTCACCAGGACATTGGGAAATGTGCCTTTTTGTCACATCCATCTCTTTTCTCATGACACTGTGGACTCTGCCAGCAGCTGAGAAGTTGGCATCAGTGCCACTGAGGGATGATCCTTCATCCCAGAAGTGCATTCTGGTTTAATTTTGAGCTGCAGTGCAGTTTGTGTTGCTGTTCTTGCGTGTCCTTCTCTCTAAGGCTCAGCAGATGAAGGCAGAGCTGTATCCTTGGATTATCTGGTGGAGCCCAACTCCACTTAAATGTTTTCTTTAGCTGTTGCTGCTGAGTGAGTAGCTACTGGAAAATCTTTTCATTTGGGGGAAATCCAGTTTAGCCTCACTAGCAGTAAGAAGTGTCCTGATTTCATACTGTTAAGTTGGTATTATGCTGTCCTATCCTAAATATAGGTTTGGGTTTCACTGTCAAATTCTATCAAGAGATTCCTGGAGTAAAGAAGTAAAAAAAATATGAAATACCATTTTTCTAAGGAAATGACAGAAGGTTGTAATAGAAACTTGTAAACCTCTGATACTGTGAGAAAGTTGAGTTTTTGCATAAACTCTATCTGTATTATTTCTGCATTTGTAAACCCAAGCTGGGGGTTGGACATATGTAGGTGCCATTTCTATAAACCATTGAGAGGGTTTGTGGCCTCTCTGTGGTATCTTTAATGTCTTCTTTCTAATGATAATTGTGAAACTGTGGTACTGAATAAGCAGTTCTTATTGATAATTGGCAAATTTTTTCCTGAAAGGCCTCAAGAGTTTGTTACATGAACTTCTCTTATTTGCTGTTTTATCTAACAATTGATCAATAATAATCCAGCAAACATGAAAAGTGCTGCATGAATACATGAGGGGAGCAGAGCTGAGATCATTAGCACTCAATTTATACAGCAAGAAAATTTGAACAAGACTGGCATTTTAGCAAATTGCTTGTGTGCTCTTCTAGTGCTGAGCTAAATCAAATCTCATTCTTAGTGCTGAACTAAATCATATTTTA